CCCAGTTCATCCAAAATCAATGACACTGTTCCCCAACCAATTCTGCACCGCACACTATAACCCTGGCTGGGAGTTGGATCTAGCTATCAGCTTTGTCGCCATATGCTAGACTAAACAAGAGAGATTTTAGCCTTGACTTAAATAACTCTGGAGTGAGTCTGAATCTCAGATGTTTGCTGGTAGACTATTCCATAACATTGGAGTCTGTAACAGAATGTCCTGCAACCAAATTACGATCGTTCCACCCCAGACACCACCAGGTAGTCCTCCCCTAGAGAGCAAAGGGGGGGGTTACATGGAACCAGTAAATTGCTAATATACTCTGGTCCAAGACCATCCAGTGCATTATAGGCAAGCAGTACTGGAACTAACTGGAAGCCAGTGGAGTGAGGCCAGTACAGAACTGAAATGCCCAGGTTTCCTAGTCCTCGTTAGGACTCTGCATTCTGCATTAATTCGAGTTTATTTAACGATGCAGAAGTGCACCCAACCAATACGGCACATAATGATTGCCTCATCGACCAAACAGCAGGTCAACATTGCACAGGAGGGAGGAATTTGTATATTGGAAGACATTTTGCATGACAAGCCATGCTAAATGGCTAAATGTTCGCATGTTGAGTGCGATTGCATGGTGTGTGTAAATAAAATATTTTTTCTTATTCATCGTGATTTAGGCAGTCTTTCGCAATATGTTTATTGCGCATGTTCATCTCACACTGATGATGAAAATATTAATTATCAGTTAGTGCTAGTGTTCAGGGGTTGCAAAAGTCACTGGTGGAGATGGCCAGGAACTAGGTTCCTCAAATTTGGTGGGAAGAACAGGCTTACAGGTTGAATCTTGTTTTCCGTCAGGTGTTAGGCCTTTATTGATATTTAAATCCTCCTACCTTCGAACTTAATCATCGGTGCCCCCCTGCCCTCCGTCCAGGACTTGTACTACTCAAAAACTAGGAAACGGGCAGAGAAAATCATTGCAGATCCGTCACACCCTGGACACAATCTTTTCCAGCTCCTCCCCAGGTACTACAGAACTCTGTACACAAAATCCACAAGACACAGGAGCAGCATCTTCCCTCAGGCCATCATCCTCATAAACAGCGAAGCTGTGTCACCTGCCTTCTCTCAATCTTCCCCCCTTAAACTCTGTTTGCACTAAACCTCGCACCTTATACTTTGTACCTTGGGTTACCCATGTATATATATTTCAAATTTTATGTCTTGTATAGTGTAATTTATTGTTTGTACAATGTCATTTATTGTCTGTGTACTAGGGAGTCTCTAGCAGCCGGAACCAAATTCCTTGCGTGCCCCAGCACACTTGGCGAATAAAGCTGATTCTGATTCTGATTCTAAATGGAAGTTGTAGCATACAAGTGTTATTGCCAAATAAATTGTTGTTTCTGAATTGTGCCAACCTGTTGTTAATATTGTACTTGTTTTATTCCTCACCAAAAGATATGTGTATGAGCTCCCTGTTCTCGGCATATGTAATAAGTTTTGCAAATACGGATAGTCGTTTTTTGCAAGGCATCCCCTTCAACTTTGGTTTTATTGATGATGTCATCAGTGATTGACTCAACTTTCAGAACACAACGGTTGACTTCAAAAAGTCTGAAGCTGTGCAACCCCTAGCCAGTATACAGAGACAGAACTATGAATTATAAGCCTAAATCTGGCTAAATCAACAATATCCAATCATCAGGAACTACAATCAAGACCAACTAAAGATGCAACTTATGACTGGATCAGTGTCAAATTTGTCTTTTTCTGTAATTCTAATCGCATTTTTATTAGTTGACGAAAGTGTGAGTACATTTTATAATAGTTTTTGCCATTATAAATTACATTTTATCATCTCGTTTCATTCAATTAATATCTTTGTTAGCAAAAAAAAATTCATCATAATTTTCATCAGCAAGATGAACACTGCTTGCGTCCTCTTTTGTAGTGTTTCCCCATCACCATGATAATCAGCCCACAGCAGTTTGTCTGAAGTTGCCAGTAAGTCCTGTGGTATGTTCACCCAAACTTGCGCATCCAATTGCCGCTTCTGCTCTCTGGTGCAGCCCCCCCCCCACCCCCTAGGCTGGTAGACAGGGGCTCCAGTTTTTGATAAACTAGGAGGGGCCTGATCCAGAGAGGTGTTGTTGGGTGCTGGCTTGGCACATCTTGAATCCCACTCTCATTGATGATTTCCTCTGTGACCACCCCTGGACTCTGGATCTCCTGCCTTCATGATATTACAGTAAAACTCCTTAAAGAACATTAAATGGCAATACTTTAGATGTAGGTCCCAATACTGTAACAGATGTGCAATCTGCCACAAAAAATGCAGCACATAGTGTAAGACTTTGTGCAGTGATATATGAACTTTGACATCACGCATCATTATAGTCATTGCTATGGAAACAGCCCATCTCATTCTAATTCTCTACCTCATTATATATAGAAATATGTTAAACAAAACCCAATCAAAGCCAACAGCACATCACTATCAGCTCAATTAAAGATTTGTGCACCTGAGCTGGAGAAAACAATCATCACCCATTCACTGGTGACCCACCGCCAAGGCACTCGAGGTGATGTAACACCTGCACTCCTTTTC